GAAGATTAGCTGGGAGTAAGATGCCACTGTTAATTTATTTATTTCAGTGGTTGTACTGGGGAGAAGTAAGACAGTGTCCTCGTTTGTACTGAAGACACACTGAGGTATCCAAGGGTGAGGGCAGCATGTCTGTTTACTGTCAGATGGTTCAGAGGAAAATCATGTTCTTTGTACTTGCATATTTTTTTGGAAGTTTGAGATGTTTTAGAATTTGTCACAATAATTCTTTTTAAACCCCACCATGCTCTCTCCCACGTCAGTGTCTCATTGCTTCTTTTCCAGGAAGGCTATTTCTTCTAGGCAGTAGATGAAGACCTAGTTTCAAATCCCAGATCTGCCATTTGTTAGGTTTGTGACATAAGACTTCACCTCCCTAAGTCCCCCAGCTCCTCATCTGTGAATCTGGGATAATATTGATATTCAGCTCAGTTTTTTATTTGGGGAAGGCTTTTTTTTTTTTTTTTAATGGAGATAAAATGAGGCCATCATACAGCGTTTAGTACCTTGCCTGGCATGTGGTAGATGCTCTATAAAATGGTACCAAAAGGAGGATAGCAAACTTGTTTTTCCTTTTTTTCTTTCATTTATCTTCTCTCTGGTATAGGGAGGACCCTGTGGTATCTCAGTCCCTACACTGTTTCACCAGGCCTGTAACTTGATTCTAGCAGTCAGCATTTTGGCTCTTACATAGGGATAATGCTTGTTCAACTGGCTCAGCTTTCTGGACTCAGCCCATGTGTAGGCCTCTCTGCACACAGCCCAAGATGTTCTAACAGTCCATTTAGAAAAGATGCAGGAAGCAAAGCATCTCTTAGATGGCATCAGACATCTTTGTCCTTTGCCTTCTCTTGCAGAAGAGAAGAGGTAAGGATATATTTGGGCTGTTCCTTCCCTTGGGGGCGGGCCTTAAGGAGAGGTTGGAGGCTGGGACTGAGTATGCTCTGTGGGACCTTGAATGAAGCTCTTATGCAAGAGTGCTGAGGACAGCAAAGTTTGTATGAGTGTTCTTCTAATCACTTTTTAAGAGGATTGAGATTTCTTGCCTCTGCCCCATACAGACATGGGTAAGTGCTCACATTGGCCCAGGTGGGGAGTAGCTGTGGGATGTGGATCTGGCCCCTCCCACCAGGCTGAAGGCATCTCTCTAGAGCAAGACTGGTGTCACTAAGAGTGATGCTGGGTGAGCATCCTCAGAGCATGAGCAAGGGCCAAGCTCTGAGTGGTTCTGTGGTTCTGTAAAGGGCTCTATAAAGAGAAAGCTCTTGGAAGAGAGAAGAGGAAGAGGTTGCCCCTAGTCCTAGAAGGACAGGTAGAACTTGGATAGGTGGTTTGGAATAGTGAGAGCTAATCCACATAAGGAGTCTGCTGCTCACCCCTCCACTTTCACAGTGTCTCACTTAGGCTCCTAGTCCTGTGATGTTCTGACTATGCCCATTTTACAGATTACCACTGAGGTGCCTTGCTAAGGATCTCATAGCTATTGGATGACAGAGCTGGGATTATGCTGTAGTTGCATGTGTCCTCCAAAGTTCGTGTGTTAGAACCTTAGTCCCCAGTGCAACTGTTTGGAGGTGGGGCCTAATGGGAAGCGTCTGAGTCATGAGGGCTCTTCCCTCCTGAATGGATTAATGCTAGTGATAAAAAGGCATGATATAGGCTGCGACTTTGATCTCTTATTCTCTCATGCTCTCTTGCCCTTCAACCTTCTGTCAGGGAGGATGCAGCAGAAAGGTCCTCACCAGATGCCAGCCCCTCGATCTTGGACTTTCCAGCTTCCAGACTATAAGAAATAAATCTCTTCTTTATAAATTACCCAGTCTCTGATATTCCATTATAGCAACCAAAAATGAACTAAGCCAGAATCCAATTCAGGCCTCTACTCTAGAGCTGCCACTTCATTCTCTCTTTCCACTGCATCGTGCTGCCTCCTGGAGGCCACCACGGGCAAGCAAAAGTGGAGAGCCCGGAGAGTCACGCAAAGGGCAAATGAGGACCCGATTGGCATTGAAAGTGAAGAGTAGATAGTTGGTAACAAATGAGTAGTTGTAAAAGAATGAAAGCTATAACAGAGACCAGTTTTCAGACGGGGAAAAAACGCATCAGGCAGTAGATTGAGAGAAAGCAGGCCCACATGCCGGGAGCCAGTGCTGTGGCTGCAGTCACATGGCCAGCACCTCTGCAACTCTTTCCATCGCCACCTGGTCTCATGCCAGGCATGGGAACTTCCTGTGGGCTCCTCTGTACGGGAATCACTGCTCCAGCTTTGATGACGCCCATTCTCTACCCCACCCCATGAGACATGGCCCAAAATTCCAACTGCTCCTGCCTCCAAGAAGAGTCCCTCCCACCCTACCATTCCCCGCCAGCCTTCATGACCCCTGGCCTGGTCTGTGTCTGCTGAATGACTTATCACTGCTGCGGGAATTATGTCTCTGCAGGCTGCTCCTCCCTGCCTCCACCAACACCCCGTCTTAATCATCTCGGTACTGTCAGGGCATATCAAATAGGGCCTGCTACACAGGATCATCTATAAATTTTGTTATCCAAATTAATAAAAAGTGTCTACCATACCATTCTAGGCAAGCTCTCAAAAAGAGCAGTTCTCACATTGGGTCAGACTATCAGGAAAGCACATCTCAGGGTCTCTTCATCTTAAAACTGACATGTTAGTGGGAGTACAGATATGGACACTTGCTATTTTATCCCTTAAGTGCTTCCCCAGCAGAGCTGTGCACAACTTTGAACATCCAGATAGATTCAAGGATGTCTGAATCCTTGTAAACTGTTTGTGTCTGGCACTGGGGGACTGCAAGAAAGCAAGGCCACAATCCCTCATATCCCATTCATCTTGTCTGATATGGCTGCAACTGTTACTTCCATTCTTCGATAAGTAGAAAACCTCTGGAGTTTGGGTATTAGCAACTACCAAATATGTAGTTTATTATTTGTTGAGCACTAACCCCTCACAGCACCCCAAGTGGGAATTGGAACAATACACAAGACTGTGCTTTGGGATAATGGAGCATTTTCATTTTGTGTTGCATTCCTCAAACATTCTGGCAAAGGGGCCTGTGCTGACCTATCCCACATTGGGATAGATTTCCTTGCTGGGTAAGTCTATGGGAAAATTCCTCTTCCCTGGGATGGGAATGTGACCCTATGACTGGGCGTCCATTACAGCCAGGGGGCGCGGTGCACCTGCAGGGTCTCCCTCACAGAGGGACTAGAATCCCGCCTCTGCAAATCCACCCGGCTCAGGCTCTGCAGAACATCTGGGCTTCCTCCTACTGGCCACTGTGAAGGGCTGCGCACCTGCATGTGATTAGGACTCAGCAGACACCCACAGCCTGTAGGGCTGCATGCTGGTGGCACATCGCAGTGGACAAGTTTCTCCCCCGATCACTGTCCCTTCTGAGCAGATGAGTCAGAGTTCCTAGGGCACAGGAGCCCATGCATCCATGACCCCATTGGGTACCACCCTCAATGGAGCAGTGGTTGGAGGCAGTTCCAAGCGGTCCAAGGCAAAAGCAGGCATCAGCAGCAGATCCAGGACCTGACATGGCCAGGGAAGGAATGGAGAAGTCAGTCTTAGCCTTCTTTACCATCAGTCAAAGATGGGCCTTTTAGACTTGCTCATATCGGTGTCTGGGAAATTGGATAAAATTTTAAATACCACTCCTGACTTACCTTTCTCCCTGTAACTACTCCTCTACTGAATGTGTACTCTAGCCACAGAATGCTGAGGTAGGTCAAATGGAGACTGAAAAATAAGAAAATGAAAAATGGACCAAAGATGCTAATAAACAAAGCATGAGAAGACATCACAGTTTTCAGTGGCAGGGTCGTAGAGCTTACACATTTATTGTACCTGCCAAATGAGTTAGTTGAAAAGGGAACACAATTTTTCTTCCAATGAAAGAGACTCCTTTATTTAGTAATATGAAATAGAGTAGAGAAAAGAAAGCAGGCTTTCTTGATCTGTCTTTCACCAGAGAGAGAAAGTCACATGACCATAGGGACCTTCATTAACAAACTGTGGGAAATTCGATTCACCATGAACATGTGCTGCCATCACTGATGAAAAGGTGGGTCACTCCAGCAGGCTCCATCTCCCAAAAGAGGTAATCCTGGCAACAAGTCACTAATAAGGCCAAGTCCCTGACAGCTTCCTACAACTCCTGCTCTGTCATTAGTCCTTTCCCAGAAATATTTAAGGACCACATGAAATAGATTTCTCCTTCATCTGTAGGCAAAAGTCAAGTGCAAGGACTGGGATGGCAACAGCACACTGCATGGCTGATCCTATCCTGCTGGATCCTTCATGGTGACACCGAGCACAGGCTTTTGTACTTATCTTGAAGAGTACTGGGCAAAAAAAGGCCTGTCACATTTACTGTAGGACCTTATTGGGGTCTGTGAAGTATGTGATCGGCCTTGCAGAGGATGCTACTTCCGTGGGACTTTATGCCTTGGGATTTCAGAGACTTAACTGCAGCCTCCAGGTGGGGAGGGCTCATCTTTCTCGAGTGAGATGGGTCCTGTAGCAGCCTGTGATGTATAAACACAGAAACTCTGTCTGTTCAAACTGCATTTGGAATGACAGTGCTCACTCTGCAAATTATCGTGGTCATTTCCCAAAGAGAAAATGTTTGGGCCTCCTTTCCTGAATGCAAGCTTCATGTTTTTTACCTTGCTGTGCAGCGACTTCATGCCCTGTGAGGCTGTATGCCGCAGCATCCTATGCAGTTTCATACCAGTCACCAACCCAGGATGCAGCCCCCCATGCCAGAGGCCCCCAGCCTCACACCTGATCTGACAACATGAGAATGATCGCAGGGAATGATCGGTACAAAGACAAATGGAGCCAGGTCCGCTATGTCACCCCCACTGTTAAAATGCAGTCAGTCCTATTCTGTTAATGAGTTGAGGATTCCAGTAACACAGAAAGGCTTAGTAACAAAAGCTGAAAATGTTTTCCTTTAAAGACCAGTCATGAGCAATTTTATGAATAAAATATTTAATCAGCTTATCTGTACAAAATATTAAAGTGGTTAATGAAGAGTATACAAGCATGTTTAACAAATATATACTGCTATATAATAGTTAAGAAAAATAGAGATTGCTGTTTTACAGGTCATTTACATTTCACTATGTACAATCTATTTAAATTTGAGAATACATATACACATAGGTTTCTACCTGCCCTGGTAGGGCTCCCTGCTAGCTGGCCTGGGCATCAGCAATGCTTCACAATGTCTCTTGCATTGCCCAAATAAATGCCAGGCCCGGCAGCTAGGAGACAGCTCAGGCTGCAAGCCTTGGAACTCTGCTCTGGCTACAGCAGAGCTGAAAGAGTGCTGACAAAGGAGGTTTCGGTTTGCCTTAAATGAGTATTTAATGTCCCCCACACCCCAGACTCCTTACTCCCAAGCCAAGCTAAGAAAAAAATGGGTGTCACTGCAAAGTGAAAGGACTTCTGTCCCCTCACCCAAATACTTCATTTTGTCTTTAGCTGCTGAGGGAATGGCGTGTTGTTAAGCCTTGATGGCATTACCAGCACTTTGAGTTTTATCATTTCCTTAAAATCACTGCACTGGAATCAGATGACATTGGCTTTTTAAGCTGCAGGCCACTCATCATGTGCAGAATTCCGCTGCCCACCCAAGGCCTGCTTAAACAACATCATTTTGTAAGCTGGTGCAGGAGCTCTGCAGTGGCCTCTACAGAGAAAGGATCTGCTGCTTTATTTGTATACAAAAAGAAAAAAACTGTGTCCAAACTTTTCAGAATCCCCTATTGTCATCTGCTGAAAGGGCATGCTGTAGCTAGCATGTTAATCCTTGTAAAAAATGCATTAACTTTTCATTTAGGGTGAAATACTTCCAGCTAAAAGACCTAAAGTGACTCAATTATGATTCTTTGTCAAAGAAAACATAAAAGCTGTTTGCATTATAGTGTAAAGTCAAACACAAACATAAAATTACTCTAAGGATGCTCATGTTTAATCCATGATTTATCCGAGGCAGAGGATGCCAGAGAATTCCTCTCTTGAGAGTCTCTGTTCCTGGCTTAGAGCGCTTGAGTACTTCCCCGCCAGAAAACACATTTCATCCTGAGCTTTTTTTCTCACTGAACTGCATCATCGTTTTCTAAACAGAATGCTGAAGGGCTGACTTTGAGTGTGACAGGCCCTGACTCAGGAAACCAGCCCTGCTTGTGGGAAGCCCCTTCCTCGAACCAGCCTGTTCACCCCAAGCCCAGCAGCTGCCCCAGGCCAGGGGAGGATCCAGGACACGTGTGCAATGGCAGCCCTCAGTCACTCAGAGATGAAAAGGTGCAGGCAAGGGGAGGCCCTCAACACACCTGGTCACTGCTTTTTGGCCACATACACCAAAAAATCCAAGCATGGGGTGCCCATAGCCCAAGAGAGGTCTCCTCGGGATGACCTGTGAGTACTGAAAAACAGAGGAAACGTATGTGCAGCTGCACCAGCTCACCAGCCGAGGTGTTGTCCCTTCCCATCTTGCAGCTCAGGAAATGTCCTCGAGGGAAGTTTACCCCCATGTGCCTCAGGTTTGCTCCTGTTTCCTTCTAATTCAGCAGGATGCCTGTGAGGGAACCTTATCAGAACTCTCGTTTTGGTCAGCCAAGGGTCTAGATTTTGGCAGCCAAAGGTCTGGGCAGGAGCTAGATGCAGAACTGGGTGTGGCTGTTGCCACTGCTGGTCGGATGGAGCAGGGCAGGTATTCTGCAAAGAAGACAGCCACTTGCCCACCTCCTGCCGGGCCAAATCTCCAGCCCCCACTGCGCGGCACTCCTGTTGGCCCACAACTCAAAAGGTAATGAGACAGGAATGCAGAGGCAAAGCAGCTGGCCACGCCCTGAATGCTCTGTACCACTCTCCACTCTGCCGGAAGTGGCCTGGGTGTGACAGTCAGAAGTTTCCCCCTGTTTTTCTAGACAGTATCTCAGCATCCCTTACTAACACAGAAAAGGGACTAAAAGTTTCTGCAAGCATTTCTAAACAAGCAGAAGGAAGTTTGTCTGACAAAGAGTGAAACTGTACTTATATCATCACACCAAGCTGTCCTGCCAACAAATTCACCTGACTGTGCAGAAACACCTCTCTCCGGAAGCTTCTGTGACCCCTGCAGCCCTCTTGCCATTGTCAGAGAAACATGTGAGAGAAAGCAGCCCTTTCTGTTGTCACAGACACATACGCACCACGCACAGATGCCGAAGAGGCCTGCAGGCTCTGCACAGGCAGGAGGAAGTGGACCATTGCACGCTGCTCTGCTACTCTCAAGGTGTATTTTTACTTTTTCAGCAACTGTGAGCATAACTTGAAACTCAGCCTGATTTTTCAGTGACTTCACACCCATTTTTCAATGACCACCCATCCTGGGTTGCTCTGCTGTAATTGCTCCTGCCGCCATGAAGCACCAGCCCAAACTTTGCCCAGCCAAAGGCCTGTCGCCAGGTTGCAGACCACAAGCCAAGCTCTGGTGAAGGTAGTTACCTGCAGGTCATGGGCAGAGAGCACCCCTGAATGACGATCAGAGCTCATGTGGCAACTCCTGGGCCCTCAATCACCCCTCTGATTCATTAGGCCAACTTCCAAACCTCTCCCTGCAGCCTGTGTCCAGCAGGTGTCTCCTCAGGCTAGGACAGTGGCCCTCCTGAAAAGAACAGCCTTCTCTCACCACAGCCTCACTCTGGGTTACTATTTGTGATGTACTAAGCTGTGGGTACAGTGTAAAGTCCAGAACGGCACAGAGGGAGGAAGACAGCTCTGCTCCAGGCTACGTGGTCAGGAGGCTCCAGATGCAAGATGCCAAGCTGTCTGTAAACTTGGAAGTAAACATCTTTTGGGGTCCTCCCTTCTGGTGCTTCTTTACGTTAAACCCTCCCACCATTTTCCAGGCCATAAAAAGGAAGAGAGACAAGCTCTTCTGACGCTACCCGAGGCTCACTCCCGTGGGAAGCTGCAAGGGGACCTCAGACCCAGATATGGGCATGGTGGTGAGGAAGGGGTAGGGACCCAAGGAGTCCACCCTGGGACAGTCCTGCCTGCCTCATCCAGGGCTTTTGTGACAGTCCCAGGCCCCTGTCTGGGTGACCAACCAGGCCGAGCCTTGCCTTTCCTCTTCTGCCTGCAGGAGTCCCAGCAGCAGGTAGAGCCCTTCCCAGCACTAGGTCCCTCAGGCAGCCTCAGCCTGAGTGTGGCTCTGCCCACCCCACTGAGCACAGGCCAGCTCCTGGATCTGGGTAGCTGAACCCCACCCTTGAGGTGCCGGCCTTCCCCGCACCTGCCTCAGCCCATGGAAATTGAAAGCACATCCACGAGGCACCTACTGAGGATATCAGTAAAATGGACACATGCACACGCACAGGCAAAGCTGTGAAACGTGTAAGACGCAGCTCTGGAACTGGGATTGGGAGGGGACCTTCTCCAGGAGCTGTCGCATTTGCTCTGCCTACAAGCTGTCTGAGTGGAATTGGGGGCAAGGTAAAATCCTAAAACCTTGGGACTAGAGAGGGCGTCATTTTAAGGGCAGAAGATGAAGCTCCAGCAGGGAGGTGAGTGCCCATAACTTGCCTCAGCCCTCTCTTAGGAGATGCCTATGGTGCCCTGGCCTTTGAGCAGCCTCCCCTGAGGTGGGCGCAGGCCATGCCATGGGAGCAGCTGCCCCTGGGCACTCAAAGCCCACAATGGGCTCTGACTCTGGTGCAGCTCAGATACACCATCCCCCAAAGGGATCTAGTTACTTTCCACTTGCCAGATTCACTTGTCAGCTTCCTCTCTTCCCTTCCTAATCGCACACTTTCTGAGTGGCAAGCACAGTCCCAAGCTCCCTCTGCTAGACTGCTGCATTCAGAGCCTCGCTCCCTCCAGCTCACTATGCGATCTGACTCAGGCCTCCTGGCCTATGGCCCAGTGAGGGCCAGGGGAGGGCTGTCTCCCTGAGATGACAGGTTCTCATGAGAATCGGTGAGGCCCAGTGATTCTCTGCACCCAGAGGCAGCCGCAGGATGGTCTCTTCCTTCCACTGGACTTCCTGGAGGCAGACTCAAGCACAGGAAGAGTCTGACCTTATCTGTGCATAAGCTGCTCTTGGAAAGAACGCAGTTTTTCTACCTGCTCTAAGAAGAAAATCAGTCTACAAACCCTAGTTGTTTTCTTCTGTGAGTCTGAATGAAATTGCGACAGCATATACCATGTGTAGAGATTGAATTACACTCCCTCCTGTTCCATCCGAAGGATTATCGGTACTCTCTTCAGTACCAAAGGTGAGGCACCCGCTCCCGCCGACACCATGAAAGCTGCCAGGAAGAAGTAACTGCCCTGGGCTTCGTGGAGTCTGGATTCTCCTGTCTTACAATCCATCCCTCATATAGTTGCCAGGAGGGTACAGTGAAGGGGAGCATGGATACAATGAATGAGCACAGCTCAAGCCTGGCTTCCTCAAGCTAAGACAGCAAAGCCAGCCACCTTCCCCGGAAGACCCAGCACAGCTGCTTGGAAAGTCAGAATTCAATAAGGCAAGTGTTTGGGCATCAGTGGAAATGCCCACCTGCCAATGTGGTTGATCCCCCTTCATACCAAATCCCTGGCTTCAAGCAGCACTGACCAGACTGTCTTCGTGTCTGGCAGACCCAGCACCAGCCCCGCTTGGACTGCAGCTGCCCTGCCCCGAGCTCCCTAAGCAGGGACGCCAAATCCTACTCACTAGCGGGAAATAGTGGTTCAAATGATGTCAGCTAGTAGTGCACAATTCTCTTCAAAATGGAAATTTTATTTATTTATTGAGATGGAGTTTTGCTCTTGTTGCCCAGGCTGGAGTGCAATGGCGGGATCTCGGCTCACTGCAACCTCGGCCTCCCGGGTTCAAGCAATTCTGCCTCAGCCTCCTGAGTAGCTGGGATTACAGGCATGCGCCACCATGCCTGGCTAATTATGTATTTTCAGTAGAGATAGGGCTTCTCCATGTTGGTCAAGCTAGTCTTGAACTTCTGACCTCAGGTGATAGGCCCACCTCGGCCTCCCAACAAAACGGAAAATTCTGTTTACTTTAGGAGGGAGACTTTGCTGACCTCAGGTTTCAGGTTGAGAGAACACGGGATGGCCTTTATTCACAGTCTCAACATGCTTTTTCCCTGCCTGTCAGTTCTCCCATCTGTGGTGACTAGAGATTCCACCAGAGATTACAACAGAGAAGCTGGGTTCCTGCTGGTCACCCGGACCTGTCCCCGATTACCTAAAAGAGAGCTCAGAGTGCTCCGACTGACTGTGCTAACAGAACCCTTTTCTCCACATCTTGGCAATGCTAATTGAACCACATCTTCGCAGCAAAAGGCCATCTGCCCAACGTGTTGGCCCGCTGCTGTCATTTTTACAAAGTGAAATGCATCCTCTGCATTCACCTAGTGAATGGGCTGAGATGCCAGAGGTTGGGCAGGGTGGCCCAGGTGGTTTCACTTGCTCCAGAGGCAATCTGGGAAGCATTCCTTTTATCCAGTAAACAAAGAGCATACCGAGGGCATGGGGCTGTGGAAGGAATCGCCACTGTCCAAGGACAACACTCTCCCCTGGGCGCCACCCAAACTCGAGATGCTGAAAGACACCTACTTCCCACACCACTCACAACACATCTCATTAGAAGGAGGTCATCAGAGGGAAAGAGGAAACTGACAGGTTTTTTTTTTTTTCCCCCTACCATGAAAAGGTCGGGCTAAATCAAGACATTTCTTCCCAAAAAAAGTGTTTTTCCGAGTCACTAAAAAAAGTATCCAATTTGCTTTTATCCAAAGATACTGAACACCCTAGAATATCTTCAAAATAACATTTAACTGCACTTTGTCGTTAACTTCTTTCTAAAACTTCCACTACTACAACTTTTAACACTAAAGTGTTTTTTTTAAATAATTCTTCATTATGAAAGGCTTTGTTTAGAAAACAAGATTGAGGTGTCTCTGGCAAAAATCCACAAATTTAGGGAACATCTTTGCCCAGTCACTGAAATAAGATGGAATTGTACCAGTGCAGCCACTTGGGAGGTTTTTAAATTTCTAAGCTGAAGAGACTGTTCATTTTCTGGTTATTGATATCTACTCATACAGCCACATAATATAAATTCACATAATAGGAGGGGGAAATCTTCATTTTAAGAGTAATTTACACGTGCAACTTTTTTTCTTTTGGGAGAATTTGACAGGATGAAAACTGATTCAGGTGGGGCCCTTAAGTAAATTAGCTGTATCTAAATCGTAAGTCTGTCTTCTCTCTCTCAAGAGTGTAATCACTGAGAATCAAAATGTGTATGAATTGTCCTGCATCCGACACAGGGTGGAATTCATCCTCCCCAGGACTCTGAAGGGGAAAGTCCTGTACAGCATCAGGCAGAGGCGCCAGGAGGGCTGCGGGGCTTTTCTAAGAGCCCTTGGAGCTCCAGACAGGTGGAGTCCAACTGGTTTCTCTTCCCTCTCCCAACCTATGGACAAAAAGCCACAAAGGATTCCCAGGCATAAACAAATCAAACAGTGACGGCTGAATGTTTGAACTCACTTGTACATGCCTAGAAAATCCTTCCATCGATAAGACTCTTCGGGGCAAAACATGGTCACTAGGGGATAGGAGGCTTCCACCACTGCTCCCCCACACCAAGGCCCGGCCCTTCGAAGGGCACAGCAGCCAAGTCAGGGAGCTGATGAGGGGAGGGGGCAGACCTTCCTCCTGCTCTGAAGGTCGTGGTTGGGAGTTGAAATCTGACAAAAGCACTTTTGTGTGGCTTCACTTCCCTGCCAAAAACTACAGCAACAACACAGTGAAGGCAGGTAAAAGCAGAGGCCGACTTGATAGCTAGCACTAGCGGGAGTCGAGTAGGCGCTAGGGAGCATGCACCTACCTGGCCGACAGCCGGAGTCCTCGGCTGGAGTGGGCCCCAGGACACCTCCCTGCCTCTTAAGCCCTGAGAGCCTCTCCACAGGCTTCTTAGCAAAACCCCCTGGCTGGTTTTGGGAAAAGCAGTAGCTCCCCTCCCCCAGCCCCACCTTCCCGGTTCCTGGCCACTGCATGCACTTTCTCCTGAGCCACCCCAAGGCATGGCTACCACCTCCCAGGCCAGCTGGGGAGCTTCCAACCTGGCAGAGCCTACCCCATCCCAATAGCCTGTTAGATCAGACTCAGCCGTTTAAACCCCTCCCCCATTTCACTTCCCTACAAGAAGAAAAATGTCCTTTCCATTTTCCAGAACATTTCCAATTAGAATTGATTTTAAAAGGGGGGGAGCGGTACCGATTTTTGCAGAAATCTGGGAAGCTCCACATTCTTTCAGACAAAACTTCCCTTTCAAAACTCAAACAGGGGCATGTTAAATTTTAAAAGTTAAATAAGAAAAAAAAAGATGCCTTTGCAGCAGTTCCTTTCCAGAGTAAACGGCCCCATGCAACACAAACCCTGAGAAAGGACGCTACGGCCTTGTAGTTGGTCACGGAGTGCACCACGCGGCGCCCAGCCACCGGGCGGAGCGATGCCCACACTGGCCAGAAGAAAAAAGGGTGAGATAAAGCACGCTCGAGTACCCCTTTGGTTCTCCCATTCTGGAGTCCCCAATTTCCTAACCCGTTTCTACCTGATTTTCGTGCTTGTTACCACAACATCAGCACAAACACCTTCCTCTCCTCAAGTGGGGGCAGTGGGCGCCATGGCTATCTCTTTGCAAAATACACAAGCTTTGACAATCGGTACCGGCAGGTCATCTCTTCCCAAGGCTTTCAGATGCTGTCCACGGTAAATGTGTGCGTGACTGCACGAGTGTATGTGAGTGTGAACGTGTGCTCTTCCTCCTCCGCGAGGGCGCTGAGTCACATCGGCCATGCACCCACGCTCGGTGACAGGCTAGCCCTCTGCTGCTCTTCAGCTGGGGATTCTGGGCCACTCGGCTGCCCCTCCTCGGCCTGCGCGCTACCTGCAGCCGCAGGCCTCCACCACCATGTCCTCGTATTGCTTGTAGACAACGTTGTTGGCGGCGTCGATGTAGAGGATGCTGATGGGGCTGAGGCGCGCGGGCACACAGCAGGAGGCCGGCGCCGCGTCTGGCGCCATGGAGTTAAGCAGCGTCTGAATGATGGCGTGGTTGGTGGGCTCAAGGTGCGAGCGCAGAGGGAAGTCGCAAACGCCCTCACAGTGGTACGCCTCGTAGTCCAGCGGCGCGATGATCCAGTCGTCCCAGCCCAGCTCTTTGAAGTCCACGTGCAGCGGCTTGCGGCTGCAGCGGCTCCGGCCCCTGCGCCCGTGGCCCCGGCCTGCGCCCGCGCCCGCGCCGCTGCCCTGCGCTGTCCGCGTTCCGGCTAAGGCCGTCCTCCTCCGCCTGCGGCCGCCAATGACTACCCTTGGCGACCCGGTGCCAGGTCTTGGATCCGGCGGCCGCTCTGCGCCCAGAAGGGCCCCGAGCGCGCGGGCCTGGGCGCGGATCTCCCGGAACAGGCTCTCTTTCCTCTGCGAGCGGGAGGAGACGACTAGCAGCGCGCGCTCCTCTACCACGGAGCCCCCTCCGCCCGGCCAGCCGAAGCCCAGCCCCCGCAGTGCCAAGGGGCTCCGCACTGGGCCGGCCACTGCGCGCAGCAAGAGGCAGAACGCTCGGGGGGCGCGCAGTTCACGACGGTGGCGCCTCACAGCGTCCGCCACGTCAAACACCTCCCAGCGCTCACCGACCAGGGGCTCAGCTGCCCGCGAGTACAGCAGGCGTGGCGCGCGGGCAGCGCCCGGGCACGTGGACAGCAGCAGCAGAGGCGGGGAAGTCGAGCTGCCTGGGTCCGGCTCTGGAAATCCGCGGCGTAGCACGCGCAGCTCGGCGCCCACCACCTCGTCTACGTCAGGAAGGCTGGATACGTCGAACAGGAAGCTCTGGCCTGTTTCGGCTGCCGATTCGTCTGCGGGGGACCGGCAGGGACAGAGAGAAAGAGCTGAGTAAGAGACCTGAGGCCGCAGCACACTGTCGGCGCGGGGCCTCCTAACAGCAAATGGCCCAGCTGCCCTCGATGTAGGAGCGAGGCCTGTTCGAGCCAGCGCCCGACCCCACGTCTCTGCCCCAGCCTGAACGCTGCCAGCCTGGCCCAGAGCAGAGGACGCCTTCGCCCGGGCTATCGGAACCACGCTTTGGTTCAACAAGCCAAAGTCACGCCGACAACCCACGATCACTGCATATCCCTGAGCCGCGGGAACAGGAGCGCACCCCTGCACCCCGAACAGGGCTGAAGGCAACTACAGTTCTCCGGCCTGCCCCAGAGCCATGGGTTTGCGGGGCCAGAATCCGAGATCAGACTTTCGGGCTGGGGTGGAAAGAAGTCGTGCACCCCGTCCTGAGGTCCTGGGCCTTAGGGAGACTTATAGTTATTGCTCTGCTGTTCCCTGCAGAGCCGAGAGTCCCGGCAGTGCGAAAACGGAAAATTCTTGTCTCCTGAAAACTCTTCTGCTACCTCTGTTCCCCCAACCCAGCCTGGATATCCCCGCTAGCCACGGTCTCCCATGCAGGCTGGGGCTCGGCGATTTGTCTAGGAGAACTCGTCTGCACGGCCGCAGAGGCCCTCTAGTCCAACCTCGCTCTGCCGAAGGGGAGCTGAGGCCCAGCTAGGGGTTAGGATCGCCCAAGGTCTCAGGTCTCGCAGCAATGCGCGCTGCTGCTCGAGATCGAAACCACAAACGCACCTCCTTCGGTGCTCCCACGGCCTCCGAAGGAGGGGAAACGGCGACAATGGAACGCAAGGAACCTCTCTGAGGGGTGCGGGGCATCCCCGAATGACCTTGCTGTAGTGAGGGCAGCGGCCAGAATGAAGTCTCGCTACCAGGAGCCGCCTGTCTGTGCCTTCGCGGGCTAGTCTTCCCTCTGTAGTGACTTATCTCGGGCTTAGGGGTTTTATTTCCAGTGTGGTCACTCTTTTATTTTTTTCTTTTTGGGCTCAGAAAAAAAAAATTGAAAATTCCACCACACAGATAAGGAGCTCCCTTTGAAGGGAGTCATATGGTTTCGTTTTGCCCCTAAACTGGGAGAGACTGTGCAGACTCCCCCCACCACTGGAGATTTGCTTACCAGCCACGAACGTCAGACCCTGTTGCCTGAGGTCCAGGGTCTGTCCTTATCAATGGCCTCTGGGGACCTCAAGCAGCCCTGCTCCAAGTTGAGACTCTGCATCGAGAGGGAGGAAGGAGAGGCGTGCTGGGGCCTCGCAGGGAGCACTTTCTCTGAGTTTTTCTGCAGATTCTCTGCCTCTCCCGGGTTCCTAGCCCTGTCACTTCATTTCCCCCAAGAGGGAGGAGGGAGAGGAGGCCTCTCAGGCTCTGCCAGCCAAGCTGAGCTACCCAGAAAAGGATTTATCTCTGAGACCATGGTAGACCTAGCTCGACCTTAAGAAGACTCTGGTGCCTGTGCCCACTTAGAGCCCAGCACACCCCAGTCTCCTGCTGCCTGGGAGCCCACAGGGAACCCCTCAGTCTGGAGCATTCCCTGTCCATGTGCACCAGAACTAGGGCTTCTGTGTGTATCCCAGCATCCAGCCCAGGGGCCATGTCAGGCCTTCAGAGAAGGCTAGATAGTTCTAACTGAACCATAGGGCCATTTGGGAATTTCGTACCAGGATTTCCAGGTACCCATAATAAAGCAGTCTGTGCTAGGCACTGGACATGTGCTGGTGGGGATGGGTGACCTGGTCACTTCACGGCCTCCGTCAGTCTTCCCAGGCTAGGACCTGAGGTGTGCTGTCAGTGGCTCCCAAACCTGGCAGCCTCAGCCCCACCCGCTCACTTCCCGGCCCTATTCGCCTTTTTTCTCTCCTGCCCTCCATGCTGGGTCTCTGGCTGGATAGAATCAAAGCCAAAATTACTCGCATTTCCGCCTGAAATTAGTTAAATTTTCTCTATTTGTCTGCTTTAATGATTTCAATGGAGATTAATAAAATCCAGATGACACACAGCAGCCACACCACAGCCTCACCCACATCCTACCTTTGGAGGGCTGAACAAGATGGGTTGCTGGGTCTAAGAGAGGCCTGCATTCCTGCAGATCCCCAGCAGGCCTCTCCTCCCCACACCACCAGCATCCTTCACTTCTGGCTCTCCCGGGGCCCAGCACCAGACACAGGCACCCACAGCTACGCATGTCCCACACACACAAGCCACCACCACCCAGACCAACCTGCTGAGCAGGGCACTCCTCATACCTGTAGATGCCACCAGCCTCTCCACGGCCACTTACTTTAGTCTGATACTTGCCTCTGCCCCAGTTTTCCCTGGGCTTCCCCCAGTTTGTGTGGCCCCAAGAGACTGGGAGCTGCAGAAATTGCTGCAAAGAAGCAGCCATCACCCTCACCACTGTGCAGTCCCTCTCGGTGTGACTCCTGGGAACACAACTCGTGCCCTCCTTTCTTCTCCGAGGGCTCTGATCCCGATGCCACTCCAGACCTTTCCCCAAGAAGCGAATCTTGGCCTCAGCCTGCCTCCTCGAGGGGACCCGCCGGCCTGCAAAGCCAGGGCGACCTGGGAAAGGGACCAGTCGGCCCTCTGGGACCGGGCCCCAGGAGCTGCCGCGACTCTCGCCACAGTCCAAGTGCAGCGGGCTTGGAGCGTGTTGGCCTCGGCAAAGTTTCTATCAACAGGCTGGGCCGCGTGCGGCCGCGGCCCCCCATGTATTACAATGGAGCGGCGGCACGGCTCCGGGGCTGGTCTCAGCCCAGGACCTGACGGCATGCGCGGGCACAGAGGAGGCGAAAGTACCTTGGGTCGCCTGGTCTGTGAAGCCGGTGATCGTGTCCGCGCGTCCATGGCCCGAGGCGGAGACAGCGGCTGCCCCGGCCAGAGCCCTCCCGGCCAGGCTCCGGTAAAGCGACATCATGAAGTGGTGCGGCACCACCGAGCCGTTCCTGAAGCCGGAGACGGCAGCTTGGCGCACGGCGCGGGCCCGGGGAACCGCGGCGGCCGAGACAGCCGCGGCGCCCGCAGCCAGGGCGAGAGTCTGCCCGCCGCCGCCGCCGCCCCCCGGGCTCCAGACCGGCCCAGCCCCCGCCGCTCTCAGCACAGCGGCCGCTTCAAGCCCGTTGCGGGGGCGGCAGGCGCTCAGCAGCCAGAGGCACAGCGCGGCGGTGGCGCTCAGGTCCATGGGCTCCGTGGGCCGGGCGGGCGGGCGGCGCGGGCTCCGTGGCTCCGGGAAGTCCCCCGGCGCCTTTTGAACATAGTGTTTAATAATGGGGGAAGTGTGTGCGGCCAGCCGCGGCCCCCCCTCCTGGCCCACCCCACCCCCGCCCAACGCCCGGAGCAGCGCCCCCTGCTGAACGCTCCGGCGGCCGCGCTAAGCCCCCCACCCCCGCCTAGAGTGGAGACCCGGGCCGGAGCCTCCTCCCCCCACCGCAGAGCTTCGCCCCTACCCTCGCCCAGCTGAGTGCCACCGGCCCCAGCCTCCCAACGAGCCCGGGTGCCCCGCCTCCCCTCCCCGCGACAGTGCGACCCCCCTCCGCCGGCACGGCGCCCGAGACCTACTCGCCCTCCTCTGTTCCAGGCTCCGGGGCACCGCGCGCACCGCCGAGCTTCCTCCCCACTCCCCCGCGGAGAAACACCTGCCCCCTCCCCGCTCCGGTTCCGAGTGCCTGGGACTGGACCGCAGAGGTGGGGCCGCGGAAGGGCTCGCCCTCCAGTCTGCTTCGCGCCGCGACCTGGTGACCGCGCCGAGAGAGGCCACAGGGTGCGCCCAGCGGCCGCAAAGGCTCGGCGGTTCCCCACCCAGCCACAGCCCCCAAAGGATCGCAGCTGGCGGCCAGAGCTGGGGAGGGGGCCGGTCGGGGAGGAAGGGAGGGCGAGGGGCTGGAAGGGCAGGCCGGAAAGAGCTTTGGATGTGGACCGCCCGTCGGAAAAGAAACGTTTGGGCGCGGAAGTTGCGCTTCAGCAGGAGCCAAGCTCTAGAAGGAGCTCGAAATTCGGAAGGCAGCCCCGGGAGATGGGGGAACTCCCGGAGGGAGTGCGCTGAGAGTTTGGCGGCGTCTCCAACTGGTGACCTTCCGCCCGCCTTCGGGGTCGGGGCAGCGGCTAACGGAAACCAGCTACCGGGTTTGTGCGGGAGCAGCCAGGAACCCGGAGGGCGGGCGGTGCAGAGCCCCAGGATGGCGTCTCCGAGCTTCTCCCCTCGCCGCGGTGATGGTCCGGGTCCCGAGGTGGACGGAGGGGACGCCCAGCAGCGGCGAAGCCCCGGGGCGCACTCGCGCGGGCGGCAGAACACTTGGCTCTGCGGATGGCAGGGGCAGGTTGCGGGGCCAAGTCTCAAGGGAACGCGCAGGAGATGGGAGTCATCGGCTCTGCTCCACCCGCAGCCTGGAAGTGCCTCGCGATCGGAGACTCAGCAGATCGAAGGCCTGGGCCAGATGACCTGCGGAAGAAGGACTGGCGGGTCCTTTTCCTTTAAAATTGCATTTGCTGCAGAACTCAAAATCTAGACCCGGTCGGCATGTCGTGATCACCTTGAACGGGTGATCGGCTTCAAAGCGAGGAAGCTTTGATTCAAAGCTGTGTGGGTCCGGACGCCCACCTGGCTGCCCTGCGCTCGGACCCACAGAGGAGGCCCAGCCTAGGGAGTTCCTGGACCGACTCTGGCCCAGGATCTCCGATTCCTCTGCTCCGCTGCTTCATCCCAAACGAACTTCTCAACCATCGCCCTCTGGGCCATCGCGGAGACGGCGGCGCCTGCTCGGCTTGGGGCTTTGAGCCGCGTAACACTCGAGAACATTTGCGGGTGGGAGAGAGAGGCCTGGTGAGGTTCAGTCCTCGCAAACTCCAAGGCCGATCGATGCCAAGGAGAAAGGCTTGACATTGCTGGGAAGGGCGAAACCCCGGGGCAGGGTCATCGCTGCCGGCGCAGAGGGTCTTCCTGTAGCAGGAATGCGCGCACCTGGGAGATCTGGGATAGACAAGCTTCAGCAGTCCACCCTGCTGTTGGGACTGCCGTCGGAGAGTCGCTAACACCGCCGCCCCCACCCCCACAGCCCCGGGTCTCTCCCAGGGATGGGGGTGTCCTACTGTGTCCCTCTGCTTCCTTTCCCCCTTCAGCCATGCGCCCGCCCGTGGTGTTTGGGTGTTTTACATATCAAATTGGCTAAGATTTCTGCAAACACTCGGGGAGTCCTGGGTGACAGCAAGTCGCTTGCCTTGTCTTGGCTTCAATTTACCGGACTGTGTAGAGCAGAGAGCAGAGGGGTCCTAGCACAGTCTTGGCACAGCCAGTGACAAATAAACGTTTGTTGATTACATGACACCCCTGCCAAGTTGGGGCTTAGGAATGAGAGATGGATTAGAATCCCTGCATCCTTGCTGTCCTTGTGGGAGCAGGCCACTTTGCTTCTTGGAGACCGAATTTCCTCATCTATGAAATAAGCGGATTCTCACCTCATCGTCTGTGTGGCTGGCATAAGGGGCTGGCACAGAGGAGGTGACATAGTCTGGCACCCCCAACCACCAGTGTGTTCCGAGTGCCAGGGGTGATCACCGCAGAGAGAGAGAAGCAGCTTCTACGCACCTGGAAGGCTTTGAAGGAGGACACAGTCCGGGTGGACTGATGCTGCTGGAGCCACTGTCCACCTGCTGCGTGTGCTCCAGCTGGGACTTCACTTCTCCCACATGTGCTGCTTGGTCTGTATAGTGAGGGCACAGTCATTCATTTATTTCTCCATCCCTCCATTCATTCCTTCTTTGATGTCAATTGCCAGGTAGCTTTCCGTGCATTGCAGATTCAGCAATGCACAGGGCAAGCACGTGGCACTTTGGGATGGACACAGGAGACGACAAACAAGAGGTGCCTAAACGCAGTGTGCTGTCCAGTAGTTCTAAGTAAAGACATGGGCTGGGGGCTCTGTGATCAGCAGGGAATACATTGAAGCCGAGCCCAGACGGAGGAGGCACAGAGGATGGGTGGGCCATGCCTGGCTCCTTCGCTCACTGTAAATGATAGTGCCCATTCGTTATCTCCTGAATGCCAGGCACCTTGCCTGCTGCTCCACGTACCTCATGCCATTTCATTCTCACAGCTACTCTATCCTGTGCGATGGGTATTCCCATGCTATAGAAAAGGAAAGTTGAGCTATAAGAATTCAACACCTTGCCTAGAGTCACCTGGGGAGTGGGAGAGTCCGGAGTCATCAACTGTCCTAGCTCAACTCTTGGCTTGGGGGGGGGATGGGAATGTGAGGGGCTTTGTTCTGCCGCCCTGCTCCCCAGACCCCAGTGGAGAGGAAGAGTATGCCTGCCTTTCCTCTCTGGCTTTCTAGAAAATCCTTGGCAGATAAAGGACCTCTCCAGTCCAGGTGAAGACCATGAAAGTGTTACCCAGGGGACTCCTGCCTTCCACTGCTGTCAGCTGGAAGCGGAAAACACTTGGCATGGAAATAGTCTGTCATGCCAGCAGCAGGACCTGCCCATGACCCAGGTCTCCAGGTGCCCTGCCCACTTGAGACTTCGTCTTGAGGGATGCAGGGATCCTAAGTTGATGGGCTGGGCAGGAGAGGGCTAGTGCACACAGCCTGGAGCCCTTGAAGCTGTGCGCCACATGCTAACTGCACTAAGAGCCTTGAGAATGAAAACCTCCTTCCTCTGTGTTGCCCCAGCCATGGCTGGAGAGCAGATGAAGTCCAGAGGCAGATGTCAGGAGCAGAGGTCAGAGGAGGTTGGGAGAAAACTGGGGACTGGAAGCTCTAACTTTAGTTTTTCATCCACCTGATCAGCCCCAAACCCCGGACCTCCAGACTCCACCTGAGTCCTCCTCAGAGAAAAGGTGAGATCACCTCCAACAGAGGAAGGAGGGGAAAGCCCCCTGGTTGGGGCAACAGGATGTTTCACAACTGGGGTGAGGAGAGGCAGTTCCCACATGCTCACCCCAGACCCTTCCCTGGCAGAGCACTTTGCTGCTCTTCCATCCCTTGCAGAAGCTGTTTGCTTTCTCTGAACACCAAGTCCCTGATGCAGTCACAGAATCCAAGGAGCTGAAAGAAAACTTTTTGGGTTATGATTTAAGCCAACTTGCCATGCATAGCTGAATCATAACAAATTGCTTTCTGGGCTGCACTTACATACCTGCAGAGATGGGGAACTCCCTATCCCAGGCAGTGTCTCCCTCTGTTGCCCAGGTTGATCCTGCAGTGGCAGGATCATGGCTCATTGTAACTCAAATTCCTGGGCTCAAGTGATCCTCCTACCTCAGCTTCTCTAGTAGCTGGAACTACAAGCACCTGCCATCATATCCAGCTAATTAAAAAAAATATTTTGTAGAGACAGTGTCTTGCTGTGTTGCCAAGTGCCCTCCCAAAGTTCTGGGATTCTGGTTGTGCTTTTCCTGCACCTGGTTGTAAGGAAGTCCTCTCTATGACTCCTAGGAGAGCCACATCTCTTGAAGGTACCTTTGCTGTGGGGAGTTTACATGTCATCTGGGAACCTACAACACTAGACTGAGACCCACCAGCTAGAGCCACACTGAGGTAACCTTTAGGTATGGGAACTGCGTGAGCCCCAGCTGTAGTCTACTCAGCCGTGCCCAGGTTCTCCTGCCACACCCAGACACCTGGCCCCATGTCTGATGACAAGACAACTAGGGGATCCCTTGGAGGTGACCTCTTCTACATTGTCCACATGCAGAAGCCAAGTCCCCAACAAGTGGGCATGGTCAGTAGCACGTCATTTGGCATCACAGCCATCCTGGATCCCCCTGTAATCAGGGGTCTTTGTTCCCCATTGCAGCCAGAGCCTCGTCTCACCTCTGATCAGGGCACCCTGTGGGTGCAACATGATGACAGTCAGCCTTTGATCTACCCTGTCCTCTGTTGGGGATGCTGGGTCCCTGCAGCCATGAACTAATTTGGAACATAAAACTGATAATCCTGAGAGTCAAGAGACCTGAATTCAAATTGTGCCTCTAACCTTAGGCTGCAAGTTCCTTGCCCTTCCTGGCTTTAGACCCCAAATGTGCACTAAGTCTGACAATCAAACGTCCCCTGGGTCTGCTGAAAGATGGGGAGAGTATGAGATGGATCCACTGCCTGGGATTCAGCTGGGAGCCTGTCCTCTCTCCGGACCCACCATAGCCTCTGGGTCTTTTGACTCAGAGCTGGAGAAATGGTTGGAGGTGAGGAGGCAGGGACCTGGTTTAGGTCTCCCAGGGAAGGCAAGGGACAGAAATTGATGACAACAGTCTGCGGAGCCATCTACCCTCTCTGTGTCTGGTGATGCTAGATTCCTCTCAGTTCAGAGATCTGCTGCAAATATCTCCCACAGAAAGACCTGGGCAGCGAAGTGGGAAGATTCCAGTGGGCTCTGGCTGAGCCCTGTAGGATGCCCAGGGCTGGGCTTCCTGAAGCTCGAGGAATTTCCCAGGCTCAACCGGTAATACCCGGCCCCAGGTTACTCAGAGCAACAGCTCTGGCATCCACACAGGGGTCAGCCACAGCTCTAGCCCCAGGCCGCTGGGCGTGGCCTGCCCCTGTGCCCCAGGCCACCAGGAGGGGGAGGAGAGGCAACAGAGAAGAAGGTAGAAGGGTCGCTTCTTTCCCAGAAACCTTCCAAAGGGGACATCTCAGACAGAGCCCTTGGGTTTGGGACTAATCAGGGAGGGCTGGTGGGCACTGCCATCTGCTGGTCACTGGTTGTAACAGCAGTGCAGTGTAGACCTTCCTACCTACTGTGATGACAGGAAGGACCTGGAAGACTCAAGAACCAGTGCTCGGCCTCTGC